GGTGCTGGTGGTTCAAGCCTGTAATCTTAGCACATAAGAGGCTGATTTCTGAAGATTGCAATTCAAAACAAACCCTGGCAGAAAAGCTTGTGAGATTCTTATCTCCAATTAATCACTGAAAAGCCAAACATGGGGCAGTGGCACAAGCGGTAGAATTCTATCTTTAAACAAAAAGCTCAGGACAGTGTCCAAGCCCTGAATTCAAGCCCCATGATTAAGCTGGGGCTGGTGATTCATGCCTGTATTCCTAGATACTCAGGAGGCTGAGATCTGAGGGTCTTGTATCAAAGCCAACCTGGGCAGACAAGTCTGAGACTCTTATCTCCAATTAACTAGCAAAAAAGCCAGAAAGAAAATAAAAATGAAAACCCATCATTATTACCTAGCCATAAAATATACAAAGGATCAAAAAAGAGTCAGACATGAAATACCTGTAAAAACGCCATAAAGAAAATTGTTGGTCAAATTTCTCTTAATAACCCTGAAGCCTGTTGAATATTACTCTCACAATTTCCCTTCTATTTTGTGGCAAAAGATAGAAGTTATACACTAACTACTAACAATTTATCTCGAGCATGTAACTTTAAGACCAATATGAAGTTGGAAAACATGGTTCACTTGGTACAGCAATAGCCAATGAGCAAAAGCTGCAGGCACCAAGTTCCATTTCTAGTCTAGGACCTAAAAAAAAAAAGGAAAGAAAAGCCAGTGTATATTTTAAGTATATAATTCATATGATTACAACAAGTAAGAACAGGCAACACCTGTGAACTTCATGTGAGAAATGGGTTTAATTTTTATTTCTTTCATAACAAATAAAATCATGACATAATGGAGTTGTAATTTCAGCTGATATTACTCAATTTTCTGCTATGGTACCAAAATGCCTGAGAATGGGTACCTCATAAAGAAATTGGCTCACCCAGACATGGTTTGCGAGCGAATTCTACTCACTGCCACCAAGAATTGACGAGGAGCAGAAATCTTCATCCTGCTGATCACAGACCATGGACGGCCCGGAAACCAAGAGACTGGAGGTAACCAAGTCTTTCCAGCATTGTGTCTTTGACCTAATAAAGAGGAGGAATGCCCCCACGGTATTACCCCTGTTTTCACTATATTTGATGTTGGTGCCCTGCATCTTGTACATACACTTCTCTAATTCGGGGAGGGGAAGGGAAAAAACAAAATGCTTAAATAAGGATACAGGTGGACCCATTGTAACAATGAGATGTACAAGACACTATGTTGAAAATGAACTTTACAACTTAGGTGGGAGGGGGTGGGGGTAGTTGTGGAGGTGGAAGGAAAGGGATGGTAGGGGGAAAACAAAGAGGAGGCAACAATGCTCAATAGGAAATGGACTCATTACCTTGTTCATGTAACTGTAAACCCTCTGCACAGCATTTTTACAATAAAAATGTACAAAAAAATTATGAAAAGAAAGATATTGGCCCATGATGGTGGAGTATCATGATATTGGGTGCTGGGAAGTCCAAGAACATGGGACCAGCCTCTGAAGGGCTTGGTGCTAGATCAAAGAGATTACCCTGTGTTAGAGAAAATCCTGTGTGTCGGCAAAATGAGAAGAATTTTCTTCCCCATAGAAAATGAAATCAATTTCATAGCTGAGAACTGAAACTGATGGGGTAATATGTTGTGTAGAAATCTCTAAAAATTAGTAGTGTGTGTGTGTGTGTGTGTGTGTGTGTGTGTGTGTGTGTGTGTGTCCTTCGGCTTGAACTAGGGCCTGGCACTGTCCCTGACTTTTTTGTGCTTAAGACCAGTGCTCTATCACTTGAACCATAGTTCTACTTCTGGCTTTGTGGTGATTAATTGGATGTAAGAATCTCTTGGACTCTCCTGTATGAGCTGGTTCAAACCATAATCTTCAGATCTCAAGCTCCAAAGTAACTAGGGTTATAGACAGGAGCCACTGGTGCCCAGCAATAGGACATTTTGAATGATCTCTAAGACTTGTTTTATTCAAAAAGTATGTAAGTAAGATCATTGTTTATTTCTAAGCTAAGTAATAACAAAAATAAATATACAATGGCATTGATATTAACATGCAAAAACCATCATGTTCTATAGTTTAAATATGCACAAGCAATTAAACTATCTGACAGTCCAATCTTGTGAACTGGAATGGATTAGCGATCATTAGAGACTAGGAAGCATTAGAATACTCATCCCCACTGATTTCTTGCAGGACTGGGACTTGAACTCAGGGTCTGATGCTTTCACTCACAAGCTGGCATTCTACCACCTAAGCCACACCTTCTGCCCTACCTTCCCCCTTATTGCACATCTTTCTTCTCTCCAAATGTAACTACACTAGTATCCAAACTGCAAAGATAATGTAAAAGATTGGTTTTGTTTATCTTAGGACTTACAGTAAATTAATTTCTAGTTTATATGTGGGGTACATATCTTCATCCACTCAGCACTGTAAGGTTTCTCCACAATATCAGTAGTAGAATTTATTTTCATTGAATTTCATACAAATTATGGGTATGATATCCATTTTCCTATTAGAAGAGATCTTCCACACTAAGACTATTATGAATAAAGAGAACAGGTCATTCTTGTACATGTTTGGGTACAAATATGCCTATATGTGTGCTGGGAATGTGTCTAAGGCAGTCATAGGATAATAGACAAAACAAGACAAAGCCATTTTTCAACTGGTGTTTTCCCTTATACTCCTAACCATGTCTTAGTTCATGTCTTAGTTACTCTGTGTTCTTGCTAGTATTTAAATTTCAAAACATCTTCTCCCACTGTGGGACTTCCTTTTCCACTCTCAATTCCATTGGTGAATAATATTCTTAATTTTGATATGACCTAACTTACTGGTCTTTTATGACTTGTGGAGTTTTGTATCCTGTGACTTAAGAATCTATGCAGATATAAAAAGCAGGGCTATCGACAGTTTCAGGTGATCAGAATTGTTAGCAAGACCATCCAAGGATCACAAGTTACCCATCAAGCTCTGAAATGGAAGAGAAAGAAATGAAGGAAGATGAGATTCGGCAGTAGGAAAGAGAATGAAGAGAACCCAGATATTTGTAGTGAAGCTGCAAAACATAGTTCCCTTCAAAGGGAGGCAAAATCACCTTATAGATCATTTCTCTTTACTCTCAAGCATTTCATAACAGAACCAATTTGTGCAAGTACTATTCTTATTTGCATTCAGTATGCCTCCCTGGAAGAAAAGAAAATTCTTCCTTGTTACAATCCCACATTCATCTCTTGGTATTTCCTTATGTGCTGCTTTGAAACCAGCATCATGCTCTCAGTCTCCCCCCAACCATCCCCTGTTCTCAGGAATTATCTTCAAATGGACAGGACAGAATGACTATGCCCAGCAGGGGCAGAGGCATGGAACATTCTAGGACATTTTGTCCCTTGTAGCTCTCTGTGGGAGGTGCTGACTGTTCCTTTCTTGTGGTATGTCCTTGGCCTGTTTACCTGTCATGTAACTGTAAAATCTCATAGCAAACAAGACTCAACCAAGATCCAAAGCACCTCCCCAAGTCTCCCATAGCATTCCCAGGAGAGGGTGCGCCTCAATTCTCTCATAACTAGAGTTACTACCCAAAGGCCTCTATTCCATCTCTCATTCATTATAGAAGTCCCCAAAGCTGAACTACTATCTCTATTCCTATAGTTTGTACTCATTGGCTAATTTGTTAACAAATTTATGATTCAAGAAACCATCATTGACCACTTTACCATGAGCTAGTTGAGGATCTCAAAGGAGATTGGGATCTAGTGAGAGAGATCACTAGAAGGGAACTAGAAGACATTCAAATTAAAGTGCTAAGGAAGGTCCCTTTAAAAGGTAGATATCTGAAAAGGACTTTAAAAGCTAATAAAGCCAGGTGCTGGTGGCTCAAGCCTGTAATCTTAGCACATAAGAGGCTGATTTCTGAAGATTGCAATTCAAAACAAACCCTGGCAGAAAAGCTTGTGAGACTTGTATCTCCAATTAATCAGCAAAAAGCTGAAAATGGAGCTTCAGCTCAAGAGGCAGAGCATCAGATATGAGTGGAAAACCCAAACAAGAGTGTGAAGCCCCAGTACCAAAAAGGAAGGAAGGAAGGAATAGTGGGTAAGAGAAAAAGGAAAGTAAAAGCCAATAAGGAGGTAGCTGATTGAAGAAGGACAAGGAAAGAAAAAGATAATGTAAAAGAATAGAAATGTGAAATAATCTGACAGTTTGTTAGGTAAGTAGGTGCTTGTTAAGACCTGACTAAAGTGGGGTTAGAAAGGACACATCTTATTGGGATAGTGGCATGTGGGCAACTAAAGGGCCCCAGGGAATGGCAACTTGGTCTTGCTTTTGTGAATATGTAGTAGGCTGAATAGTAACTCCCACTCCGAGATTTTTACATCTTAATCTTTGGAACCTACCATTGTTACCACAGGGGCAGAGAGACTTCAAAGATGGGATTACAATAAGGATCTTGAGATAAGACGTTATCTTGTGTTAACTGTCAATCGCACAAGTCCTGGTGTAAGAGAAGATTTGACCACAGAAGGACAAGTATACATGGTGATGTTAGCAGCTACTGACATGATGAAGAAATGAACCATAAGCCAAGGAACTCATGAGGCTGCTGGAAGCTGACACATTTTTCTCTCTCCAAACTGCAAGAAGGTGTTAACATCTTTATTTTGGCCCCGTAAGACTCCCAGTCTCCAGAACTTTAAGATAATAAATGTATGTCATCTGAATTTTGTGACTTTCTTTTTTTCCAGTACTGGGGCTGAAACTCAGAACCTGGGTACTATCCCTTAGCTTTCTCACTAAAGACTGATGTTCTACCACCACTTGAACCACAGCTCTACTTCTAACTTTTTGCTGGTTAAGTGGAGATAAGATTCTCACAGACTTTTCCTGCTTGGGATTCTTTGGAACAACAACCCTCAGATCTCAGCTTTTAGAATAGAATAAGTAAGATTACAGTCATGAGCCACTGGCACATGGCTATGATTTGATTTTACAATAGCAAAAGGAAAATAATTCAAAGTATAGAACTCAAAGAGTATAGAATTCAGCTTTTTGTTTACTATGATGCATTTCCAAGAAGCTAATGATTTAAAAATATTGTTTACAGGGAACAAAAATGAATTCTGCATGAACTATGACTTCTAGAAAGAATGTTTTTATTCCAAACACAACTTTGTTACATATAACCACACATTCAATTCTCTATTACTTGTTAAGTGTGACTAAGTCTCTCTCAGATTATTTTCTCATCCACAGAAATGAGAATTATTACACATAACTCACAGAATTGTTTTAGGATTCAATCAGCTAAAGGGTGTTACAAAAGGAAGAGAATGCTTTCCCTAAGAAGAAAAACATTGCTGAAGTGAAAAGAGAAAAGACCTTCATGGTTGTTGGGTTTGGAGTGGGACTTGGTTTTTTGTTTGCTTATATATTTTGTTGTTGTTTTGCTTTGTTTTGTTTCTTGTTTTTTATAGTATTAGAGCTTTAACTCTGGGCCTCATACTTGCTGGGCAAGTGTTCTACCATTTGAATCCTACCTCCAGCCTATGGTGGCTGAAATCCAAGCCCTTTAGCCAGGGTAGATATCTAGATGAAGCCATTCACAACATGGATACCAGTACAAAAACAGTGAGATAATGGTTACAAGTAGAAAGAAGAAGAAGAGGGACCATCTACAAAGATGGTAGCAGCCTTGGAAGGATGAAATCTCCCTGAGAAGTTGAGATGTTTCTTATGAAGGACATGGGGTAAGGTTGTGGCTAGATGGTTTAGTTTCCTTAAGAGAGTAAACAGTGAGCACCTTATTTGAAACAAAGCAGACTATGGTTGAGATATGATCCTGGCTCTGATACTAGAAGAATTGAGAGTGAGAACATTTTCAGAAACTGGGCTTCAGATCCCAAGGAAGAGTTCACCTGAAATAAGTTCAGAGAAACTTCTTTATCTCCTCCCCTGTCTCTAAATTGATCTCCATAAAATTTTCTGGGAAGCTCCAAGAGCCTTCCAATCTCCCAGGTATGGGAGGCTTTTGAACATCCCAAGGAGTAGAGGGAAAAAAAATCACCCCAAAACATGGAAGAAATTTTTCTGGGATTGGGATAACTTTATCAATAAACATACATAATATTCTAAGATTCCCCTGTCATGTTGTATCCTCCTATTTTATTAGTTACTGCCCTCAGGTAAACAAACATTTCCCTCTCAGGACACAGATAAATGTTTCGAGAGAAACACAACACACACACACACACACAGACACACACAAGACACACACACAGATACACACACATACACACACACACACATAGAAGAGATAAGGAAGCCCTAGGAGATCTAATTCAACTTTAGCCAGAGGCCTTTCCTCCCAGCCTGTACTTTGCACATTATCACAGCTTGTTTCCTTAGAAGAAAGTAGAAGGGCAGTTCTGCTGTATGCCTGTACCAGAGTCTCCTTCCTCCTCTTCTAGCTTTATAAAGGAAGCTAGTGGCTAGCTTTCACAACACCTCACTCCGAACACCTTTCATCAACCCAGGAAGAAAATGAATACACTACTCCTCTTGAGCTTATTTCTTCTCTGCTTTCCAGACAGTAAGTTTCAACAATGGGAGGGGGGGATGAGGAGAGGGAGGTATTTCAGGGGTGCTATTTTATACTCTATAAGCATCACCCAGGCATTACAGTTCAAACCTGGAGCCTCAGTACAACCTGAGCTTCTGGATATTGCAAAGGTTAAATATGATATTCTAAATCAAGTAAAAAATGTTCTCATTACTAAGAGGAAGAAAACAATTTTCAGATGCCTTATTTACGTATTTATTGTCTTTGCGTCAAACTTAACCCATTTCCATTTCCCATGTTCATAACACACTTTTATCCTGCATTCTGTTCTACTTTCTTAGTTTCCCTTTTCTCTCTCATTTTATTTATAAATAGGGTCTCACTATATAGCCTGGGTTGGCTTCAAAGTTATACTTTTCCTATCTCTGCCTCTCAAGTGTGGAGATTACAGGCATGCCCCCACCATACATGGTTCTCTAATTGTTTCTTTTCATGGTGGTTTTGCTGAATTCTCTTTTGTACCTGACCTTTAAATTCTGGGATTGGACTTGAAACTGTCCATATAGACAGAGCCACCCTATGTCAGCTCATCCACTTCCATGTCAATTAAAGTCTGTGTGTTGAACAGTTTTTAATTTTGCATCTCTAGCCAGATGGCTATTTGGAGCTTTAGCTTGTATCAACAAATGGGATTGCTTTTGGAAATCAGTCTTCAAATATGCTTCACTCTCTTATCACTACCTGAAAATGAGTGACCAGTGTTTGTGTTTTCTACCTACTGAATGTGTTTGAAATGCAATGTTAATTTCTATTTTGGTAACTTTTCATATCAGCTATAAACTATAAAAGTTTTTGGAGAGAGTTTGGCTCATTTTTTATCAATTTAATAATGAGAAAGACCTTTTGTGTTTTTTTAAACAATGATTCAAAATCATCCAAGTTCTTGAAGAAAAAAAAGATAAACAAATTTGACTCTGTAAAAATTAAAATAGTCATTGTGATAAAAGGCAAAAAGGCAAATCACATCTCAGATAAAATGGTTCATATCCCTACTGTGGAATGAGTTCTGTTAAAAAAATCAAAAAGACATATGAAAACTTGCTCACTTTCATTCCTTATAAAAGAGAAGTGCCAATGAAAAGAACAAATAACAAGTACAAATTTTCGCCTAGCAAATTGTCAACATCTAGAAGTGTGCTAATTTACTACAGTTCCTAGTTCTGCAGAGAGAAGAATTTTCCAAGCATTGATAACAAGGTTATAGTTTTATTTCCTCCAAAGAACCAAATTACCACTGTTGTTTCTTCTTTCTTCCTCCTCCTCCTCCTTCTCCTCCTCCTCCTCCTTCTTCTTCTTCTTCCTCTTCTTCTTCTTCTCCAGCAATTGTTTCTATGAAAATAATATTGTGCTCACACACAAATGAAATTCTATCGTGATGACCTCATTAGGTTCGAATGTATAATGTTATGCCTTATTTATTGCAGCAAATAATAACAGAAAGTGCAAATAACTTGGGATGGATTTTGGGGAAAAACAGGCAGATGGCCAGGGCTGAGGGACTGTGATTGGCATGTTCCCAGAGCTCATCCTAAGGCTCCAAAGGAAGAACACAGCCTGGCTCCCCTCTGACCTCGCTGGTACCTGTCTAGAGCTTTTCAGTGCTTGACTAAATTATTTCTCTACCTTTTCATCCCATAGTAATCTTTTTTGTTGTTGGTGGTGGTGGTTGTAGGACGTGAACTCAGAACCTGGTCTCTGGCCCTGAGCTTTTCTGCTCAAATCAAGTGCTCTACCACTTTGAGCCACAGTCCCACTTCTGGTTTTCTGGTGGTTAATTGGAAATAAGAGTCTCACGGACTTTTCCACTCTGGCAGGCTTCACACTGTGATCCTCAGATCTCAGCCTTCTGAGTAGGATTACAGGTGTCAGCCACTAGCACCTGGCCCACGGAAAATCTTTCTACCACTCCAATCAATCTTCGTTATGATTTAACTGACTGTATATTGTTTTTATTTCCTTTAATTAATTCACCTGTGTTTGTCTTAAAATATAAGTAGAAATTAATCAGCTCACAGAGTCTATGTCTTAGCACTTTAAAATCTGCCTCCTTACCCGATAAGCTAATTTAAGCAGAAATTCTACAAATACCAGCTGATAGACTGAATGGACAATAATAAACTCAGTATGCAACACTGAAGCCTCTTTTTGATGCTATCACTTCACTTTTCCTATTGGTTCACAACCCAGCCTAAATATTGTTTTCTCTCTGCCATACAGCTATAGGTCTTCTCTGTTATAAGTGCCGGTATGCACATAACGCTACCTGTTTATCTGGCGAAGGAACTTGCCTGACACCCAAACATGGGTCATGCTCAACTATATCCCACTACAAGGGTAAGTGGGGCACATGCAGACTCCCAAACTTCCTCAAAGCATCATCACAGCTGCTAGTGGCTGAGATAAAGAACTTGACATTGGTTAGCCCCTCTACATGGTAAAGCCAAAGAATCAAAAGGGGAGATGAGCCAACAAAGAGTTCTTGCCAGCTGGTCATGGAAGGATTTGGTTCCAAAATCAGTTAGAATGTACTGTACTGTGGGAGCATGATCTTCAAGAAGCCAGGGAAGGGAACGCAGTGCTAAGGAGTTTTCCTCTTGGCAGTGAGTTTTAGAGAGCCAGTATTAAGATCACCACCTCCAGCACTTACAACAGGCTTCTTCGTTTTTAGAAGGAAGACATCTGTACTCACAGCAAATGTGTAAACATAATTGCTATGAAGATCAATACACCTATCGGAATGAGATGAATGTGACATTGTGCTGTAATAGAAATTTATGTAATATCTACTAGATGGAGAACAGGATCTTTCAGAAAGCCATCTTCTGTTCAAGATCCAGAATCACATAGCAGCCAACATGAGCAACTTTCTTTCCTCCATTTAATTTCAGCTTTGCCTAAGACTCCTGAGGCCCATAAAATCATGAGCATTGTAAAAACAATTCCACTCTCAGCTGTGTGTCCCCTTTTTGATTTGTAATTTCTATCCCCAGAATAGGTCCTCATCCCCCAGATTTTTTTTAATATCTTAATCTCTGGAAGCCATGAATTGTGCCTTATATTGCAAAAGAGACATTGAAGACATAATGATCTTGAGACAGGAGGTTATTTGAATTATCTGGGAACAGGGATGTCTAAATGCAGCTTTAAGGGTACTTGGAAGAGAGAGGGAAAAGAGATTTGACTTCAGAAGAGGAAAAGATAATTGTGATGGATGATATAAGTAGTAATTTAAAATGACCCTAAAGGACATGAGCCAAGAAACACAGGAAGCCACTAGAAGCTGAAAAGGACAAGGAACTAGGTGTTAGTGGCTCACACCTGAGCCACTAACTGAGATCTGAAAATCATGGTTCGAAGCCAGCCCAGGCAGGAAAGTTGGTGAGCCTCTTACCTCCAATTAATCACAGAAAAAACTGAAAGTGATGCTGTGGCTCAAGTGATACAGCACTAGCCTTGAGCAAAAGCAGCTCAGGGACAGCACCCAAGCCTAGAGTACAAGCCCCAACACTGGCCAAAAACAAAAAAACAAAAACAAAAACAAAAAATAAACAAAAAAAGGAGAAAACCAAAAAACCAACAAAAAAAAGGGCAAGGAAATGGATTCCCCTCCAAGCTTTCAAAAACCAGCTCTGCTGACATCTTGATTTTAGCCTTGTAAGATTGATTTATGACTTCTGATCTCCATGATTGAATAAATTTGTGTTGCTTTAAGCTGTTAAGTTTTTAGTCATTTATTACAGTAGCAGTGCAAATCAAACACAATCCAAATAAATTCCCAGGAATCGATCTTGTTGATAATCCTGACCAGGTACAAGGCAAGCATTCTTTTCTCAAGGCCTAGGGTGACCTGAAAAAAAGAGGAGAGGAATGCAAAGCAAGTGCTATGCATGCACTGGAAAGATGGATCTTTGGAGTTTAAACTTGAAAAGGTTCAGTGGACAATCCTTTAGATGTGTTCGTGAAGTGAACAATACCCTACCACTTTGTAAAGCAATTAAACCTTGTCCCAAGAGCTGAATTACTCAGTTTTTTATTAGTTCCTATTCTCAACTGATGTTTTCACCGGTCTTCATGACCCCACCTTTCTCCTCTTGCTTCTTTGAGGATGCCCGAGAGAGGTTTTCTGTGGAGAATTTTTATTATTCCTATGATGCTTTGTATTTGATTCCATAATCCGGTATTAGGGAAAGAATCCAGTATTATTTTTCTCCATAAAGTAAGTCAAATTTTCTATTACTGTCTACTATAAAAAAATGTTCTTCATTGACTGGTGATACCATTTTATCATATATTGAGAAAAAAAAAGAGACTTCACTTTTTTTTCCTTCAGTTTTGGGATTTGAACTCAGAACCTCATTCTGGCTAGGCAGATACTCTATTGATTAAGCCAGCCATTTTCGCTCTGATTGTTTTTTTTTTTTTTTGTCAGTCATGGGGCTTGAACTCTGGGCCTGGGCGCTGTCCCTCAGCTCTTCAGCTCAAAGCTAGCGCTCTACCACTTGAGCCACAATGCCACTTCCAGTTTTCTGAGTAAGGTTTATTGGAGATAAGAGTCTCATGGACTTTTCCTGCCTGGGCTGGCTTTGAACCATGATCCTCAGCCTCAGCCTCCTGAGTAGCTAGGATTATAGGCATGAGCCACCTATGCCCGGCTTGCTTTGATTAGTTTTGACATATGGTCCTGGGTTTTTGTTTAGGATTGCTTGGGCCTTGATTCTCCTATTTATGCTTTCAGCCATAGCTGCAATGAGGGACTTGTGTCATCACATCCAGTTGTTGGTTGAAATAGAATCTTGTGAACTTTTTTTCCTTAAATAAACAAATGCTGGGAAAACATCACAATACTGGACTTCAAATCATACTACAGAGCCATAGTAACAAAAACAGCGTGGTACTGGCACAAAAGTAGGTGTGTAGAACAATGGAATCAAGCAGGAGATACAGAAATAAATACATGGACAACCATCTGATTTATGACAGCAATGTAAAAAAAATACATATTGGGGAAAAGGCAACTCCTTCAATCTTCCACTCCATGCCTCTACTTTTCTAATATCTTGGACAGGTTTCGCTATCTTACCCTCTGCCTAGAGGAAAAGCCTTTTACTCTCTGCCATTTCCTTTCTTTTGCTTGTTTGCTTTGTCTGCCTGCCTGCCTGCCTGCCTGCCTGCCTGCTTGCCTCCCTCCCTCCCTCCCACCCTCCTTCCTTCCCTCCCTTCCTTCCTTCCTTCCTTCCTTCCTTCCTTCCTTCCTTCCTTCTTTCTTCCATCTTTTTGGTGTGTGCTGCTGGTTAAAACCAACTGATTCACCAGGATCTCATTTGTTTTATGTCTTTCCTGGGCTATAAAGAAATTAAAACAAGTACTACCTAGTTTTGTGGAAGCCCCTTCAATGGGTTTCACTGCCTTCAACTTATCCCCATGAGCAGCTCAAATTAATCTCAGAAACCATGACCAAAATAAACCATTCCTCCATTCAAGTTGTTTATCTCAAATATTTGTCACAATGATGCAAAACTGATTACCACAGTAGGTTAGGCACACTAGATGCATTTTCAACTTGTCATGTTTTCATTTTATAATGAGTTTATCAGGATATAACTGCACTGTAAATCAATAATATCTGCATACAGAACATTTTACCCAACAGCAGGAAAAAGCACATTCTTGTAAGTCAGGCGCTGGTGGCTCATGCCTATAATCCTAGCTTCTCAGGAGGCTAAGAGCTGAGGATCATAGTTCAAAGCCAGCCTGGGCAGGCAAGTACAGAAGACTCTTATCTCCATCGAATCACCAGAAAACCAGAAGTGGAGATGTGGCTCAAAGTTGTAGAGCACTAGGCTTGAGAGAAAAAGCTTAGGGATAGCCCCAATGCCTTGAGTTCAATCTCACGACCAAAATAAAACCTAATGACAAAAATAAAACAAAAAAAACACATTCTTCTTAAGCACACATAGTACATTCTGCAGTGTGGACTATATTTTACGCCAAACCAAATCTTAACAAGGTAAAGAGGAATGAAATGATATCAGACACTAACATGAAACTAGAAATCAATCACAGGTGAGGTACTGGTAGCTCATAACTGTAATCCTAGCTACTCAGGAGTCTGAGAGCTGAGGATCTCGATTCAAAGGCACGTGAAGCAGAAGAGCTCATGAGATTCTTTCTCTAAGAAGTTGTAAGTTGAGCTGTCTCTAAGAAGTTGTAAGTGGAGGGCTGGGAAGTAGGCTCAGTGGTAGAGCGCTTGCCTTGTATGCCTGAGGCCCTGGGTTCCAAAAAGAAAAAAAAGCCGGAAGTGGCGCTGTGGCTCAAGTGGTAGAGCTCTAGCCTTGAGCTGAAGAGCTGAGGGACAGTGCTCAGGCCCAGAGTTCAGGCCCCACGACCGGGCCCCACAAAAAACGTTGTAAGTGGAGCTGTGGCTCAAATGGTAGAGTGCTAGCCTTGAGCATAAAAGCTCATAGATAGTGCGTAGGCCCTGGGTTCAAGCCTCAGGATCAGCACAAATAAATAAGTAATAAATAAATAAATAACACATTTTGAAAAATACATACTACATGGAAATTAATCATTTCAATTGGCTGCAGAAAAAAATGTTAAAAGAAAGATTTTTTTTTTATCTCATAACTGAGAGCCAGTGGCTCATACCTGTAATTCCATAAGAATCCATGAGACTCATCTCCCACAAATCACCAGAAAACCAGAAGTGGTGCTATGGCTCAAAGAGGCATTTATTTCTGCTGAGACTAGATGATCTTTTGGGTTGAAGCCAGCCCAGTAAACAAAGTGCCCAACATTCTATCTCTAATAAACCAGCAAAAGCAGGGTTGGAAGCATGGGTCCAAGTGATGGAGGGCCCACTGTGAGCAAGAAAGCTGAGCAAGCATGAGGCCATGAGTCTGAGCCCTGGTAGCGGCCAAATACAAAACACTTCATTTGCCATAGGACTTGGGTACACAGAGATCAAATCCCTTGCCTACATGACCTGTATTATTTGATACTTGGCTATCTCTTGGCCTTAACTCGGTCATCTGTCTTTTGCTAGTCTTCTATTTTTTTGAGTCATCTAACCTTCCACAACCCATAGCTTTCCTTATGATCTCCCCTTCTATTTGTAAAGTCTTTTTTTTGTTTCCATTTCTACTCTCCATACCCTTTCACTCTCCAAATCACCCTCTTAGTAGAGATTTCATTGACTCTTCAGCACTGACTGATGACCACTGCAATTTTACACTAATTTGTGATTGTTTGGATTAACGTCAGTTCCTCCTACCTGACAAGAAGCTCACTGTACCTTTATTTAGGATCAAGACAAACTATGGTAACACAGATGTTCAATAAGTATGTGTTGAATCAGTCACCAAATACTCTTTGCAAAAAGGAAAATAAAAGCAGAATGTGGTGGTACATACCTGTAATCCCAGCACTTGAATGACTGATACAGAGGGAGTGTGAATTCCAGGGAAGCCTAGCTACAAAACCAAAGCAAACCAAGAAAATAAATGAATGAACATAAAAAATAGGACTGAGACAATTGGAGTTTACTAACCTCACTGTATCCTTAGAAAGTACAGTTGAAATATACTGATGTGGTTGAATTCTGGATACAAGAGTTTAAAGAGAAACTGAGCAAGGTTGAGTAAATAGCATTTAAAAATTAAAATAAAAGATGGGTGCCCATGGCTCAAGCCTGTAATCCTAGCTACTCAGGAAGCTGAATTCTGAGGATCGCAGTTCAAAGCCAGCCTGGGCAGGAAAGTCTGTGAGACTCTTATCTCCAATAAACCAGA